AAGGGTGTGAGCTCCCCTTCAGCTGAGAATACCACTACAACCCGAGCAGTGGAGTGGTTCATGACTTGAATGATTTCCAGCGCCCTCCGACGCTCGTATAACAAAGGAATCATCTCCTGATAAGCAACACATATGCCTGTATCCTCTAACTCCTTCAGTAAGCCCTGAAGGGCAAAGCGACCATACTCGTGATCTCCTCGTACCACTCCCACCCAGGTCCAGTTAAAATGCAGCAGGAGTTTGGCAATGGCCTTTACCTGATAGGCATCACTAGGGATGACTCTAAAGAATGTAGGGAACACTCTCCTATCACTAAGACATGCACAAGATGAAAAATAACTGATCTGTCAAGAAAAAAAGAGGAAAATTCTGTAACAAGAATATTATTAGATCTTGGGTTGCACAGCGTGACTTTAACATGGTTAACTCTCCATAAATGAAAATGTATTTTTCTCAATTTATTCTCAATTTAATTATTTTCTCACAAAAAAAAGCATACACAAACCACAATGCACTTTAAATTAACAAAAATTCATTTTAAATGTTTATTTTTAGACTCACCATTGGTATCCTGAAAGGCTGCAAAAGTCTTGAAACTACAATAGACTGAGCTGACCCAGATTCTCCTATGATAGCAAGCAGTGGACCAGGACCTGCACACATGGGGCTTATTTGCTCATTTGGCCCATTTAGAACAGCTACTGCTGATCTTTGCCCAGTCAGAGGGTATGCACAAGAGTCAAAGATTTTGTAACCCAGAGTGTATTCAGGTAGAAGATCGGTTCGCTTGTTTATTTCCTCTACAGCAAGTTTCATTGTAAGGGCCCAGCGGAAAGCTCTCGGATCAAATCTGCAGATGTAAACAGTAAACAAGTAAACAGAAAGAATGAAATAAAAGGCATCTTTTTTAAAAGGCCAAACTTAAGTTGTACACAGGTTTAAATGCTACTACCAAAATACCCATTTAAGATATTTACAACTTACAAATAATATTATTCTCTTTCGGAAGTTTAAAAAAATAATAGTTTTTGTTACTCACCCATTACATTTCACTGGTGCCGGTTTGTAAGTACAGTTGAGATCTGGCATTTCCTGATTGTAGTGCAAAGGAAAAATGCCACCTATTAGAAAATCACCATTAGCCATGAGCCCTGGCTGAAAGTCACTTTGCAGGACACATTTAGAAGCATCTTCAGGAGTGAGTGCACTGAGATAGCGAACCAGAAGCCACAGGAGAAGGACAGTCATGCTCTCTAATGCCTGCATCCCTCAGCATGACTACAGTGGGCAGGACACCCTGTTATATATATATGAAGAGTTCAGATGCAAAAGCCTCTAAATGCCATTTGAAATTTTCCTCTTTAATGATGATTTTTACCAAACTTGTATTTTTAAGTTCAGTAATTTCACTTAAATGGCAATGATAATTACCTATTAATTGTTATTTAAGTGAAATTACTGAACTTAAATATACAAGTTTGATAAAAAATCATCATTAAAGAAGAAAATTTCAAATGGCATTTAGAGGCTTTTGCATCTGAACTCTTCATATATATATATATATATATATATGAATACATATAAAATATATATAAAATATATAAAATAAATATATATATAAAATACTGATATTCATAAATATGCTTTATTAATATGATTCCTGTTTACAACAGTGGCACAACCCATGATCATATGCATTGTATTCATAAGAAAGAGAGTAAATTTGTTTTAGTTCATGATACAATTTGGTGCTGTATATAGTCTCATGTTATTTTAAGTATATACAAGTATGTACACAGTCTGTTTCCTATATCCCTATATGAAGATATCACATTAGAATAAAGTTAACAAATCACATTAGATAATAATTATATATTATTATATTAATTTATAGTAAAATTTATTTTAATTCAATATTTTTGGGATACTTATTCCACATTCAACATCCCATTGCATCATTTAATAACTTTTCCCATGAGATGTTGCTTGGTGTTCTTTTCAGGCTTTAATAAAATAATGTAACACTTGGGGGCAAATAAGCAGAGGAGCAGGCCAAAACTAGAAGCTAAAATAGCAAAAATTTCCACAGCAGTTGTAAATTTACCAGGCTGGCTGACATATGCAGGTACAAATGCCAGCCATACTGCACAAAATATAAGCATGCTGAAAGTGATGTATTTGGCCTCATTAAAATTGCCAGGCAACTTCCTTGCTAAAAATGCCAGAAAAAAACAGACACAAGCCAAAAGGCCTATGTATCCCAACACACACCAGAAGGCCAGATCAGAGCCCACACTGCAATCCAGGATGATCTTGGACTGCTGATATTTAGTGTTTCTATAGGGGAAAGGAGGGGACGCTACAAGCCAGACAGTACATATAACCACCTGAACTAGAGTGCAGCAGAAGATTATGATTCTTTGCTGTATTGGGCCCAACCATTTCATTATATTGTTTCCTGGTCGGGTAGCTGTAAAAGCTGCTAGCACCACTAAAGTCTTGCCCAGGATGCAGGATATGCAGAGGGAGAAGGTGATGCTGAAGGCAGTGTGTCGTAGCATGCAGGACCAGGATGTGGGTTCCCCAATAAACACCAAAGCGCATAGAAAACACAGAGTCAGTGATAACAAGATGAAGAAACTGAGCTCTGAGTTATTCACACGGACTATAGGGGTTCCTCTGTTGTGCAAAAATATTCCCAGCACTGTGATAGTCAGAAAGGCTCCAACTATAGCTATCACAGTCAGCGTGATTCCCATTGCATCATGGGAGAGAAACTCAACTACTTTTGGGACACACACTGTTCCGTTTGCATTGGACCAGAAGTCTTCAGGGCATGGCAGACAGTCTACTGAATCTATACAAAAAAAAATAAATAAAAAAAAATAAATAAAAAAGTATGAATCACAGTGCATGTGAGAGATTTAGAATTTAAGCAATTGTATGAATGGCAGTAAATGCAAGTAAGTATTTACACATATTATAAATATCACTCAACATGCAGTAAAGTGCATCTACCTGTCTGATTACTGATCTTGCCACTCTCACATGGAACGCAGTCAAAGCAGCACAGAGGTTGCCCACGACGGGCAGCTGTCCTGAACCCTGGGGCACAGCTATTACTGCACACAGAGACAGGTACCTATGAAAAAAAGTAGGCCTAAATATAATCAAAATTTCTATTTCATTTCATAAATGTATTTTCTGTATGTTTTCCTCTGTTATACGGAGCATACATTAGCAAATGTTTCTGATTTAAAGCAGCTCAAGGACAACATAGTGAGTTATTTGAAAAGAACAACAGATGGCAGTGCAGTGCACAGTCAACACCTTGCCTTGTTCTGTTGTTTAGACCACATAATGGCCTGTTCCTCAATCACCAGTTCTCTCCCAGAATTCTGAGCACCATCATAGAGGCCCACTTTCACAAACTGAATATCTCCACTTGACTGTCTTTGCCAGTTTATCAAATCATAATATGGAATTGAATCTCCTTTATTATCAAAGTTAACATTTTCTCCAGATACTGAGAAGGAAACATCCTCAAGATAATGCTGAAGCTTTAGAGTACATAAATAAACAAAATAATAAATTAAAATTAAAGGTCCAGAAAAGACCAGATTTGCAATGACATAAGTAACCGAAATTGAAAATGTTCCAAGTATAAAGCCTTAAACAGTTTTACCTGCAATGGAAACACCTTACTGAGGTTTGCACATGATGCATTCTCAAATGGACCATTTCCAGGCCTGCAGTGAATGAGATTATGTAGAGAATGAGCAAAGGCATACACTGCTTTATACACATTGTAGGTCACACGAGGGCTGGAAGTGTTCATGTAGGCAGAGTGTTCTTGTCTGAGAGTTTCTTTCCCTGTGCAGGAGGGCAAATTACTGTTCAAGTTGGACGTGGAGGGGGAACAACCATACAGAGCCTCCCACAACTCCTGAACTTGGGGGTTTGAAGGGTACCTTTCTGGGGTCACTGTTTTGAGGTAATCCTGGAGACCTGGGATGTGTCCTTGACGTATTGCAAACCCAATTGTGCCATCTAGGAATGGATATGTTTCTGCTAACATTGAAGCTGTTACCCAAGCCTCACTTGCAATCCATTGAATTCCAATGATATTTTGAGTCACAAACTCTCTCAAGAAAGGGTAAAATTCCCCTTCTACTGAAAAAACAACCACCACCTTAGCTGTGGATTCCTTCATTACTTTAAGAATCTTTAGGACTTTTTCTTGGGTATAGTCTTTTGGGATCATTTCATGATAGGCCAAACAAATGTTAGTATTTTCAATTTCTCGCTTTAAGCCTTGTAAAGCAAATCTGCCATAGTCATGGTCTTCAGTGACCACACCAATCCATGTCCAGCCAAACCTTTTTAACAGCTGTGCAATAGCTTTGACCTGATAATCATCATTGGGAACCACTCTGAAAAATGTTGGGAACTGCTTCCGATTACTTAAACAAGAGCAGGTTGAGAAATAGCTTATCTATAAAACAGAAGAAAAAAATAAATACCATTAAATACTTTTAAAAATATATAAATACTGAGCTTATGTTTCCAAGATAAAGAACATAAACAGAAAAAAATAACTTATTACCATGGGTATTTGGAAGGGTTGCACAGTTCTGGAGAGAACAATGGATTGTGAAGATCCAGATTCCCCTATTAATCCTAATAAAGGACTAGTTCCAGAACACATTGAACTCTGAACAACATCCTGCCCATTCAGTACTGCCAGGACTGCTTTCTGAGCCGTTACAGGGGTAGAGCAAGAGTCAAAAATCCTGTAAGCCAGTGTATGATTTGAAAGGAGATTTTTTCTATTGTTTATCTCCTCCACAGCAAGCTTCATAGAAAGAGCCCAGCGGAAAGCTCTTGGATCAAACCTGCATTTAAAGTCACAAAAATAACGTCGTAAAATTGTTTTTAGAACATTGGTTTGGCATCTTATTATTTGATTTTGGCAAACGCAATTCAAATTAACTTGAGCATTCAAATATTGAATTGCCCAGAAATTATTGGAAAAAAGCAAATATCCTTACCCTTGACACTGTGCTGCCAAAGGTCTCTTAATGTAGTCTGTTGATGGAAGTTCTACTCTATAGTGTAAAGGAAAAATTCCTCCTATTGTGAAGTCTCCACTCGACAAGAACACTGGAAGATCAAAGTCATCCTGTGGAGAGCAGGTTGAAGTCACAGCTGCACTAGAAAGGTGAAATAAAGAGACAAAAATGTAAATCATTGTTCTTTCAAGCTCCAAAAAAACTAAGAAAGCTAAGAGATGTTTCTATTTCCCAAAGTTTTTATAGTTAGCTACCCTGCATATCATTATGTATGTCTCCATGGGTTACAGAATTTGCTAAATCAGGTGGCGTGTAATAGCAACCATGCAACAAATAACAAATGAATATGTCAACAAATAAATCTAAAAATAACAAATAAATCTAATCTAAATACTATGCCTTATCAAAAAATAAAGCTTTATTATTATGGAACTTTGTGAGTAAAATTTAAATAGTGAGCGAGTACATCATAAAACCATTTTCCAAATATTTTTTTTGCCTTACCCTAAATCTCTGTGAGCCTATCTATGATAATTATTTATATTTTACAGTTGTCAGTACAGATTTTGGGAAAATGCATACTTTTATTATTTGTCTGTGTATTTTTGCTATATCCGTAAAGGAAAAAAAGGTCAGGCTACAACTGTCACAGTGTCTGGTTTATGTTCCCTGGTGTCCACTAGAGGTCCTCTTTACCTACGGTGTCATTCACTTTTGGAACTACATTCCCCACAATCCTGTCTGCTCTCATCACTGTTCATTCCACTCAGCTGTTCCCCGTCATGATCGTCATGTTCTGTGTGTATAAATACCCTGCCTGTTTAGTGTTTGTTACAGAGTCCTTGTTATAGACCTTATGTAGCCCCGCCCCTTTTCAGCACTGCGCTCGTTGTCTTTTGACTTCCGGTCTGTATTTTGACAGCGATCTTGCATAGGTATGAATGAACTGCTCGTAAAAAAATTCCTGGTCGACATTTGTTAAGACATCTGCTTTACAATGCTTATGATAAACATTACAATGCCCATGATAACTTTTGTTAACTCTACAATAAGTAAATCCACTTCACCAGCTAATTACTCCTCGACAGCGATGCCATAGAGATATACAGAGCGACCGCGAAAACGGAAGTAGTCCAGTCATTTTATGAAAAAAGGTTGAACAAATTGCAACAGAAGCAAACTCAACTGACTTTGTATCCTCAATATGTCCTGAGTAAGGAAAAAAAAGTCCAGAAGAATCCCATTAGGGGAACGTTTCGAAAAAGACCCAAATATATCCCATTCATTCGCATATTCATTCTTTTTCTCACGTGAATAGGGTAAAAATTTTAACCTTTAGATATCATCATGAAAATCACTGAGTTGATTACTTACATCAAGACAAACAAAAAATGTAAAAGTTTTTTGAAATTGTTTGTTAACATGGACAAACGGTGCATAATATAATTATGTATTAGCTAATTTGCATAATTACCCAAACAGATCTAAACATTGGGTATACAGCAGATGAAAACGTTTTTTTTTATTATTTTTTTTTTTTATCTTGTTGACATATAACAGTAAAAGACTTAATGTTAAGGTCTGAATGGAACCCATTTAGGCTACACGTGAACATTAATACAGGAAGAAGTACTTTAGAAACCAGCCTTTATTAATTATTATGGCAGAGATGGGGTTTGGGCCTTGGGTGCATTGTGTACATAATTAGATTTTTTGATCCAGACACTTTTTATTTCACCTACCTTTTGTCTTCTGGATTCTCCTTCCCCATGTCTCCTGTTCTTCCCTCAGACTCATCCCCCAGAAACAGTCCCACGGCCCCAACCCCAAACCCCATCTCTGCAATAATAATTAATAAAGGCTGGTTTCTAAAGTAATTCTTCCTGTATTAATGTTCATAGGTAGTCTAAATGGGTTCCATTCAGACCATAATATTAAATAGTTTACTGTTATATGTCAACAAGATTCAAAAAAACATTTTCATCTGCTATACCCATTGTTTAGATCTGTTTGGATAATTATGCAAATTAGCACACAATTAGATTATCCACCATTTGTCCATGTTAACAAACAATTGCAAAAAAAAACTTTCAATACATTTTTTGTTTGTCTTGATGCAAGTAATCAACTCAGTGATTTTCATGATGATATCTAAAGGTTAAAATTTTTACCCTATTCACGTGAGAAAAATAATGAATATGCGTATGAATGGGATATATTTGTGTCTTTTTCTAAACTTTCCCCTAATAGGATTCTTCGGGGCTTTTTTTTTCCTTACTCAGGACATATTTAGGATACAAAATCAGTTGAGTTTGCTTCTGTTGCAATTTGTTCAAGGTTGACCCCCATTTTGGCTTAAAATGACTGGACTAAAGTTCAAAGACAATATTCTAAAGATGAGGGCGCCCACGTTTCTCTGGTGCATAAGGTCTATATGTCACACAACTTCCTAAGATTTGTTTTGTTTTGTTTTGTTGTTGGATTATGGATATTGACCCCCCTTGCCTAGACTGTTGTGAATACGGATTCCCCTAATTAGGGATGGGAAAATGAAGCCTCATGAATCAATGAGGCTTTCCCCTGACTGTTCCGGAAAAAAGATCCAAAGCTTTGCGAGTGTCAAGAACAGCGCCATCTGATGCTTATTTAACATAAAGCAGCCAGAAGATGAAGAAACCACAACACACTCCATATAGCTTCAATGTTATGTGAACAAATACAAGCCTTCCACGTTTCAGTTTGATTTGTCCATTAAATAAATTCCTTTACCCACTGAAGTATGACAATAAAATATAAAATGGGCTTATATGATTCAATAAGATCTGCTAGTAGGCATACTATCTCTATCTCTACACAAACACACACATAGTAAATAAGGATATGCATTGATTAACTTTCAAAGTACAGCACTCTCCTCACAAACCCATCAACCAGACTGAACCAGGACTTGTTACTGTAAGTAAGATCTGGGGTTCGAACCTGCTGACACCCAATGCGAAACATGCATGTGATTGGACAGAAAGTGAGGCTTCATTTGCCATCGATCATTTGACTCCGAGAAACCAATACACAACCCGATACGGGGCTTCAATTAAATTGAGTTGCATTTGCGATACACACATCAAAGCTTCAGTGTCATACGTAACATCACTACCCCTAATAAATTACTGCTCATGGATCTTACCTGTTTTGTGTGTACATATCGTGTAGCCAGGGTTCTCAAGTCTCACGCATTGGCCGTGAGACACACGCATTTCGACCGGTTCACACGCTCACACGCCACACTGTGTATTTCTCACGCTGAAAAGTCAATGCCAACCAAGTTGTCCTGGCTGAAAGCTTTCTAACGTTGTATACGAGGCGCAGGCAAACAAAGTGAAGTTTCCTGCCGCCAGCGTGTATCTCCGCCAGATTGCGTTCATTACAAGGCAACATATATGCGTGCTGCGTGCACCACTGATCTATACATGACATGTCATTCAGTAGCGCGAACACACGGAAATGGACGGAACATCCTCGGTACGTTCGTTACTAGGTAACCAACAACATCGCGCGAACACATGTGTCGTGATGGAGAAGAAGGTAAGTTGGAAGAAGCTCGTCTAACATTTTTGGGCTAGAACATTTAATATGTAGCCCATCGTACATTATTATTGATGCAGTCAAAAACTCTACAACTACTTTGCAACCAGGCTCAGTTTGGCTATCTTACGTTATCTGAAACTAAGAGAAATGTTAATGGGTATGGAAAGGAATGAAGATTTACTGATTTTATTTTAAATTATATTATACTGTAATATTAGAGAATTCTAGATCGCAATTCTCGCGCATGCGTCGTGGAAATCTATAAGGAAGTCTCGTTCTGGCCTACAAGGAAGAAAAGAAATAGTCGAATAAACTCGTTATTTTTGTTTGTTTTTTCGCACAAAAAGTATTCGCGTCGCTTGATAAACATATAGTTGAGCCACGGTAGTCACTTGGGATATTTAAACATTTTCTTCATTGACTTTATGGGCCGTCAAGAGGCAGTCCCTTAGGAGCCAATGTGGTAGTTATACAGCTCTCAAATTTAATCAAAAATATCTTCATTTGTGTTCCGAAGACGAACGAAGGTCTTACGGGGTTGGTACAGCATGGGGGTGAGTAATTAATGACTTAATTTTCATTTTTGGGTGAACTAACCCTTTAATAGTCTTTCTAGTTACATTAAGGATGTATTACAGCAGATTGCTCTGGGTAATATATTTAATCATTGTCATAATGTTGCATTTGTATTTTTCAAAGATGTCAGGAAAAAAGCAGAAAGATATTTTGTCATTTTGGGCACCAAAGGGTAAGCCCCCTAAAAAGGTTGCCAGATTAGAGGAGGAGACAGTGGAAGAGGTGGTGCACTCTAATCTGTCCATTTGTTCTCAATGTCCCACCACACAATAAATCATTCGTCTAGATAGAAGACGCATTCAAAAATCAAAATGCAATTTTTAAAGATTTGTTTGAAACTGTTTGGAGCAATTTGTTATATTTTTGGTTAGCTATATTTGTAATACTGCATTAAAGAGTATTTGATGTGATGAATTGCTCTGTCATTTATCAGATTTACTAATTGTTATAATTTTAATTTGTTCTGGTTAATTATGAACAATGGGTAAAATTGGGGGTGGGGATGGGTGGGGCGGGGCTTCATTATGGCTCCTCCCCTAACCACGTGTGATCTCACTCCAAGCTTTTGCTCAAACTTGAGAACCCTGCGTGTAGCTTAGCCACAACAATGGAACCTCGGACCAAAAAGGTTTTCCAAGCAAAAAGGGAAAAGGAACATATTCGTAATAATACACAAATTAACATAATTTGCATAGCATCACACTGGGCTGTGCATTCACAACAAACCAATGTAAATGTTGGTAACCATGCCAATCCCTAAACCAGTTACTTTTTTTTCTTTTTCTAATTTGCCTATAAATAACCTTGCTAAGTTAAAACATCTTTATACCAGGTGTAAACAAGGTTTATAGGTGAATTGTGGTGATTCATATAATCTCTCCTTGGAAGAATCCTGTCATGATCGGGAAGGAGAACAGGGGCCTGTTTCAATAAGGAGGTTTAACCAACTCTGAGTTAAAGCTTGAACTCTGAGTTGACTTACCCTGAGAAGGGAAACTCTGAGTTTTCCGTTACAGAACAGCTGAAATTAGTTAGTTCAATCAACTCTGAGTTGACTGACTGAGTTAAACGCGTGCACCACAACTATAAAAAGCCATTATCAATGGAGCGCAGATATTATGAGTCACCATGGCAACAGCGCCAGACAAAAAGAGGTGTTGGGTGTTTATTTCCCCAAGTAATCTAAATATTGTAATTTAATTAAAGGGATTACTCTTAATTCTTCTGTAATTTAAAATAAAATATGATGCAATTACATTAAATAGGCTACTGCATAAACTATAGACCAATTCAGTATAAAACAATAGTGGATGTAACATACATTTTTAAAAGGTATCATTTTTATGTAATCTTCCACACACTTTGGTCAATTCAAGAATAATTCATACAATTGTATATTGTTAATTTAAGTGCAGTTTCTTGTCTCTCCTCCTTGTATTAATCAAGTGGTTGAGGTTGATATAGTAATATGTATATGTAGACCAATACTTTCTAGAGATTGTAATTATTACATTAATCTAACTACACCATTGAAGATGTCATTTGTTTTTAATAATTCATAACTATTTTAGAGTAACTTACTGTTATAAAATCAGAGGTGAAACTGGAAGAATGTTATTCAACCTAAAGTAGGCTACTATTACTGTACTTTGGTAAATGTTTACTTAAGTAAAAGTAAAAATATCAGTCTAAAAATCTACTCAAGTAAAAAGTAGTTAATTTAAAACATGAGTAAAAGTTGCTGAGGAACTTGTTTAACAGCGGGGGTGGGGTGGGGGACTCCCCCATGTGGGGAGAGTTTCACAGTATGAGAACCGTCTCAGAAAATATCACGGTTTATGGTATTAAACAAATATTAAATATATAAACTGCATTATTAAATTACGGTTATTATTATCATCAGTTAAATAAATTAACATTTGTTCAATAAAACATATGTAATCAACTAACTTCAATAATTGATTATGAATAAGATTAACATCTTATTTTTTATCATTAATAACTTATTAAATTATGTTTGAAAAATAATTGAGTTCTATTAAATGTTTTTTATTCCAATTTTTTAATGATTTAATAGAAATATATGATCAAAAACGGTGGTAATCAAATAAAAGTTTAGCAAACGTTTTAATCCTTTTATTTTTTGGCAAAGTGCTGCAAAACAGATTTAGTCAATTAAACCATGGACAAACAATATATATTCCTTAAAGAATGTGTAAATACATTTTAGTATTATTGTCGGTGTTTAAACAGCACTTCCTCTTTAAAAAAGGGGAGGAGACCGCAAGAAACTCTGGGTTTACTGAAAAAAACCTGCACCCGACCAGGGGTGCGTTTTCGAAAGCATCGTTAGCCAACTATTGTCGCAAGTTCCGTCATTACCAATAGAGTTCAATGGAAATTATGACCAAGTTGTGACCATGGTTGGCTAACGATGCTTTCGGGAAATCCACCCCAGGTTAGGTTCACAGAGTAAGTTACCATGGTAACTGACTCTGAGTATAAGTTACCTCTCTTTCAGAAACGGACTTGACTTACTCTGCTTTCACGGGTTTGATACCCCCCTTTCTGAAACAGAAAACCCAGAGTTTCCCTCATATCAATACACACCCGAACTTGACTGCACTTCACATGTTTGACATTATTGATACAGCTTTCGTTCATACTGCAACGGAC